TCTGCCAGAAGAGCAGCGCTGGGAGCCTGCTCTACCCAGGCCCTGCACACGCAGCAGGCCTTCTGCAGGAGGACCAGCGGCAACCATGGGACACAGGTCGAGAGAGATACTCGTCACAACATGGAGTAGTTCTAGGCTCTTACTGGAGGCTTCACACCAACAGAACAAAGTATCTGTTTCCAAGAATTTTCAAAGAAGAACTCCACACAGCAGCTTCTTTCTAGAGGCTGCTTCCAAGGGAAGGTCAGTTTCTGTGACAAAAGGGGCTGATGGCGCTACTTGCAGTTCCAGGGGGAGGAGGCGCTCAGGACTTTGTCTCCCACCAGGCACCAACTACCCTTCAGCACCATTTAATTCTCCACACACCAGACATCTCCCTCTCCTAAAAACCCCAGGGAACACGCTCCAACAGCACAGAAAAGGTCCAGGGGGAGAAAAATCAAGACAAGTGATGCTCCAACGTCCCCTTAGCTGGGATCTAAGAGGTGACAAAAGCTCAGCTAGTGCATAGAGCTGAGGCTGGCCTGTCCACTCCTGCGCACACGGGAAGGCCCTTGTACCTCGTCCTGCATGCCTACCTGTACCTGGCCACCACGAGGACCGGAAACGTTCCCCTTGTGTTCTTCATATGTGGACTCCAGTCTAAACCATCTGTTTTCTTAGAAAGCCAGCCCACAGTCCACAGCAGTATCTCCATGCACTTGGAATCGTTCCAAGGGGAGGGACTTTCCTCAAAGCCAATGGTGGCTCTGGTGGTAATGGAACTCTTAACCATTTTTTGTTGAGAAACCAAGGAATTCCCTCATGTCTAAACCTTACGAAATGGTGTCACAGCCATTAGGGATGCACAGGCGCCTAGTTTCTGAGCCAGCACTATTTCTGGGTAACCTGTTTCTCGCCTCTTTCCTCAGAACTCAGGCTATTTTTCAGTCAGACCTTCTTTCCAAGATGCTGATAAGCCATACGGCCAAACACGCAAAGGACACGCCTAACCTGGGGCTCCATCTCATCTGAGTCCCCTGAGAAACCCTCAGCACAGAGTCAGCCCAGGAGGCTGGGCACGGTCCACTACGAGGTATGGTCAGGCCTTGGCAGAGTCAGATCCAGCTCCAGGTGGTGCTCATCATGGAGACGCAGCACCCACTCGGACTCCCCAGGGCTGATCTGACCAGGTGTGGTGGGTCCTGCCCAGGAGGGTGCTCACGGCAGGAGGGAGCAGAACTCAGGACCCCTTCCCAGCTGGACTATTTCCCACTCCAGCCCCCCAGAGATGCCCATTAGCTGGGCACAGCTCCCTCCCTGCTGGCTCAGGGCCTTTGCCCAGGAGGGTCCAACTCTACAACCTGAGACAAAGGTGGAGGAAAGAAGGGGTGAGAAAGTCGCAGGGTCCATGTCTGGCTTGCCTAGCTTGCTGATCAGTCCTGGGAGGAGTCAGGAAGGGAGGTGGCTCAGGGCCTTCCTCCTCCCAGTGTGGATCTTGGGCCCCCCTCAGGGCTGGAATCCAGAGAACAGAAGGCTCCACAACACCTGACCACTTGCTGCTCCTCCTCCCACCTCCCATGAAGGCTTCCTTCTGTTCCCTCCTTGGGGCTCTGCTCTCAGTCACCAGGAACTGCAGAAGAGACTCATCACCCAGCAGGATGAGTGTGACTGCAAGCAGCCAGAGCCTCCTTCCTGCTCTTAACTACACATCAAAGTGGCAAGGCCACAGGGAGGAGCACCTGAGAAGGGGCAGTAGCACTGGCCAGTCCCTCTAGGAATGAAAGCTCCACAAACTGGGGTGCGCATCCTGCTGCTCTTAGGGCAGTTTGTCCTGCTAAACAGGGACAGTAAGTCAGTTTCTCTGTTTCTGTCTCAGTGGGAAAATTAATTTTTTCTTTGGCAGATGGTTGAGTAACAAAGACAGAAGGATTCATAAAATTCACATGAACATCCTGTAAACATTTAAACACATAAAGATTAAATAAGAAAACCATGACCTTGATTAAACTATTTTTTATGTCTACAGCATGAATCCCTACAATGCAGAGGCCCAACTCCACCCTGCCTCGCGCTGCATTGCGTGTTGTGCGCACATGTAACCACGTGCTGCTTGGTTAGCTTCTTTCCAAACAGGAAATACAAGGCATTCATGGAAGCCATGTTTGGAACACCTGGAAGGAAAGCTCTGACTGGTTCTCCATTGCCTCGAATGGACTCTACAATATGGGAGTCAAAACAAAGTCCTCGGACAAGTTGTAGAAAACACATTCCCTGAGCCCTTGTTTCAGCCCTTTCCAGTTAGTGTTTTGTCCCCACCAGAGATGCTGGCCAGGGCTGATTTCACCATGACTGGCAATCCTGGCCAACAGGGGCTGAATGACCGGTTCAGGCTCAGGAGCAGACAGGCAGGACCTGAGCCCCGGTCTTGTTCAGCTCAGAGCATCCTCTCCAGCACTGTAAAGCCCAATGTCAAAGCCTCCTCCCTACAATCAGCTGGTGAGATTAGCACTGCCCTCCTGCAGGGAAATTTTATGGACCGACTCTGCCAGCATAACCTCACCAAGAGCTTAAAGCCACGCTCCTCTCAGGCCAGAATACTGCCAGGCTTCTGAGAGGGAGAGTCTCCAGATGGAGGGACACGGTATCAGCTCCCCAACACTGTCCTTAGACTGCTCAGCACGCTGAGGCCTTGAAGGTTTTCCCAGCAGTGTTTGTTACCTGGTGTAGATTTGCCCTTTCTTGCAAGGCTTTTTATTGCTCTTGGCTAAAGACACCGGACAGAGACAGCAGACCTAACTCTCAGGCAGGCAGGCTGTTCTGCAGGAGAACTTGAACTTGATGTGCTGGGAGCTGACAGTTCCTTGGAGGCCCTGTCAACCATCCATCCAGTAAACACCGGCACTACCCAGAGCAGAAACAGACCTAAACCCAAGCACAGAACAAGACTCTGCACCTGTCTTGAAGCAATTATTGACATTATCGCTGCACAATGAATCTCTTTTTGAAGTTGTTTTCCTGATATTTAGCAGTTTGAATACTAATCCCCTTAACAAAACTGCCCAGGCCTCCCCCTGGGATGCCTTCTCTCCAGGGAGGGGTGCGGGTACCGGGCAGTCTACTTTGCAGCACCTGGATTTGCACTGATTCCGCTCTTGTCATTCATGTTACCAACAAGAATTAGCATAAGGCATTAAGGGGAAACTCTGGAGGAGAAAAGAAAGGCCATTTTGATGGAAATAAGGGGCAAAGGAATAATCTGCCATCAACTAAAATGCTTATTTGTGTATGGTTTCCCAAGCAAAGCTTAGAAAAAGCCTATGTTGATTTTAGTACACAAAGAAACCTTAATCCTTTCAAGGCAACTAAATCACCCCCAGAAAAGCAGCTCAGAAGAAAGGGCCCTGTCAGGGGATGACTATTCACAACCAAATAGATGCCACAAATCACACTCTGTAAGTAAACAAAAATAAGAATGTGGGAAAGGTTGACTGGAAGGGGGGGGGGGGCCGCAGGGGGGCAGCTCTTCAGTCCCTCTCCATCGCCCTGAGGGGTCTTTCAGGGCCAGGGAGGCCCAAGGCCAGCCCAGAGCCAGAGCCTTCAGGGCAGCCCCAGGAAGGGGAAACACATTCCAAAGCTTTTAGTAGCAAATTAGCAAAAGAAAGACTCAGTCCTGTCTGGCTGTTTGGGCAGGTCAGGAGTCCCAGAAGCCTCTTCTGTGCCCTCCCCTGCTCAGTCTCCCTCTGGTACCCTGAGTTCTCACAGGACACCCCACTGTCTTCCCAAGCTCTTCCCTCATCAAAATGAGCAGTAAACAATTATGTATTTTTACGCATGAGCACTGTCTGCTAGGAACAGTGCTCCTATCTTCTTTTATTGGGCTTTTAGCATTATGGATAACAAATTTATACAAACTTTCAGTCCATCAAAAAATATGATGAAATATAAAACTGGAACTCTATTACGCAATAAAAAAGATAAAATTCAATATGACAGTAATTCTAGAGTAACAGCAATCACATGAGCACACACACCTCAAGGGAACGCTAAACATAATGTACTATTTAAAATTGCAGTTGGTTCAAATTCCAAAATAATCTGGGAGTCAAAATAACTGCACTTGGAAATGTCTTACTAACCAGCTAACAAAAATGCTAGCCAAGGCACCCGGAAGGCTGAAATGGCCTCACAGTCCCCTTGAAGAGAAGCCACTCTTATCCAGGGCTACCAAGATCCCCGGTGTGACAGAGAGAAATTATCACAGGCAGACCATCTTCTTTATTTAGCAATTATCCTGCAAGGCCCTAAATCAGGTTCTATAGTGGAAAAGCAAAGACTAAATAGTTTGTATAATTTATACCTTTCAAATTACACACCTTCAAAGCCCCTGATTAGAGACTTCCCTAAATTTCATTATTTCCAACAATACTGCTACAAATGAAAACTGCCAAGAAGCCTACTGGCAATGATTTAAGATAAGTCCTCCCTTAATGTACTGCTATATCATTAGCCTCTCTTACTCTAGATAGAGGTCTGAAAGAAATTAATGGGGATAGTGCATATTTAAATTCTGCCCTCTTGGCTCGTTTATTAACTTTACAGAAAGCCCACAGCAGAGTAAGGCTTGGTTTATGGCCGCAGCACTGTGAATACTAAGCACCAAGGGTCGGTCACCGCAGTGGGCACTGTAGGGGACTACTGAATCCCTCTGCTAGGGAGCTGGCAAGCCACAGCCAAGCTAGGACATCTGAGAGACCTTCCCGCTTGCAGCTTCCCACAGGAGGCCACAGTCACACAGGCAGCAGTGGGCTCCCACCCAAGGACTCAGCGTGTTCTTTTAAGATACTCTTAATGCATCATAAACGTTCAGATCTGTCTCAAGCATAAGCACAGAACGTGAACAGCAGCTCAGAAGGAAAAGCAGAAGACCACACTGGTGTCCTTCCCTTTCCTCCCAGACGAGGACAACAAGGAGATTCACGTTAAAAAAGCCACCACTCAGAAGAATGAAGGAGCCTTACCTTTGTTCACAATTACAGTGTTGAAGAGCTTTTCAGAGCTGGCATCTGAAGCCTGAAAAACAAGAAGGGGAGGAAAGGGTTAGGCCTGCTGTTGACACTGTGGGCCCATCACCAATACCACCACCTTAAACTACTTCACTCCTTTGAGTACAGCCTAACAGGGAGAGCAGCGTTTCCTGAATCATCCACAAGGTGGTGCCAGCCTACTGCTGGAGAGGGCTGCAGGGCAGGAGAAAAAAAATCTGCTTTTAAAAATGTGTCCTTATTAGACATATTATCTGTGCAAAACATGTTTCTATGAGATGATACACAAAGCAATTCAGCTCATTCGCATAATGATTTTCCAATTTCGCTGACAGATCATTATTTTGGAAATGGTATTTTTGCATGCTACTTGCAGACATGCCTATTTTTCAATTTTCTCCACAAATCAGAATTGCCTACTATTTAATGCTAAGCTTTTTTCACTAAAGTGTCAGCCAATACCCCCAGAAATTAATTTTCATCTGATGAACCTAAAGATCCCTGTTTCTCAGAGTCACCAGGACAAGCTTATGACCAGACACAAGCGACCTGCCCAGACCCCGTCACTGTACATGCCACCAGCATGAGTCCCTTCCCATTTTCTACAGCTCATGTCTGCTAATTATTAGAGTGGCTTGAGGAAAGCGAAATAAGCCTGTCTAAATAGCAAGACGAAAGCCAATTTAAATTATACACTGAGTTCTGGAAAATAAACATTTAAGTCGGTTTAGTGGAAAATGCTGGAATGTTTCAGAAGCACCGAATATTTGTAGGACTTGAAAAAATAAAAATGAAGCAACGTGCTACATGAATTTTAAGGTATATTTCCACTCAAAGGCATAACAACCTCCTTCACACTTCACAAGCCACGCAAAGGAAGGCATGCAATGTGAGGACACCAGGAGCGGGATCTGAGGTACAGTGCTTTCTCACTCTGGGGCCAGCTTTTAGGGACAAAGAAGATACTCTGCTTAGTCTTTCCTTGTTACACTGACGAAGATGAGACATTCCAGTGCATATCGGGGAGACGTTCTGTTTTTAGTGCAGGTGATTAAAAAAAATGACAAAATATTTTTACTATGGCTATTTTCCCTTTCCTTTAATTCTAATATTCTATCTATAGGGATAGTTCAGAAGATTAATGGAACTGAGGGGGAAAATTAATGTGCAGAGTAAGTACTCAACTGCACACAATTATACTGTTCAAAATAAACCCTGGACTTTTCCTCCTCTGCAGGAAAAACAAAAGTACACTGAGAGCCTTGATGACATCTTAAACAAAACTAAATAAAACTAAATATCACAGTAACTTTTCATGAAAATCAACTACTAGAAAAAGTGTTGCATGGGGGAAGGAACAAGTTATGCATCAAACAGATCAAGACTACCAAGTTAACCAAAAATGACACTAATGGTGTTGTTATCCTGAAGCATTAAGGGAGATTTCTAAGCATACGAGTTTCCCAGCTAAAAACTTCCCAATGTGAGTATTTTGCTATTCTTCAATGAAAAAATATCTGTTAGGATGGCCTGGAATTCTCTTGAAATGGCTGGTCCATTCATGGCTTAAAAAACAAACTGGAGCTGATTTTTTTTTTTTTTTTTAATTTTTAAGAAAAACGTCACTGTTAAAATCATTTTGCCAAGCTGAAATAATCCTTAAAAATTAAGGGATTGCCTGTTAAGACGGTTCTAACTGGCCCAAAGAAATAGTAAACAAATGACGGCCCGCATATGCAGAAACACAGGCAGAGAAAGGAAATGGACCCCAAGAGTTTTCCTTGCACTGGGTGTGGGGGAGCAGGACCTCTGGTTGGCCACTCAGAGCCTTCTTGGACTGCCACCATTGTGAGCTGCAAGGGGCTCTGCAGTCCTGATAGGCAGGTTAACGGTCCTTCTGTCTGAACCCAACTTGAGGACTTGATTATTAAGATGCCAACCAGCAAGTTATGAAGGAGGTGAGTCTCACAAGGTATGCGAAGGCTTAGGAGGGTGTCTCCTAATAAAAAATTTTTGAGCCCTTTAATTTACTGACATGTCACAAAGCTTGAAATGCCACCTCGTGTAACCGGGCAAGGGACGTTTCAAAAAGGCCTCCGTGGAAAACACCCAGAAGATGGTGACCGCAGTGGGCCTCTGGCCCCCCGTAAAAGGCTTCCGAATCCCCTTTTCCCAAGCAGGTGGCTCAAGTCATGCCGGCTCGGTCCCAGAGGCAGAGCCGAGCGCCTCGGCCTATGCGTGAAGCGGAAGCCGCCGACACCTCCACCCCTCGGCGGTGAACTTTCCTCCACTTGCACTTTCCAAGCATTTGCACAGATCGTTCGGCTCCTTGGGTCCGCATCGTGGGCACGTTTTCGTTATTTGCAGGAAAAACGCCTGCATCGCCTTCCACTGTCCGGATCGTTCTCCTCGGTAGTTTAAACCAAGACGAAGCTCAGGGGCGCGGGGGCGAGCGGGGCCTGGCGGCTGCCTTCGCGGAACGCCCCTGCCCGTGACGGCCGCGCTCGCCGCTCGGTTTCCTCCTTCGCCGGCTCGGAAGCGTCCGGAGGCGAGGCCAGGGCTCGGAAACCAGATCGTCTCCGGGCTTTTTGTGTACGTGGATGGGGGCTGTCTTTCCCCGTGAAACTAAACAATTACTAGAAACCGTAGTTGATGTTTAAAGAAAAGTTAAATAAAGTCCGACCGATCGAAGGGGGACTTCGGCCGAGAGCCCTCCGCGCCCCCCGGCAACTCCCGCGGCGGGTGCGCTCTACCCCTGGGGCCGCAGACCTGGGGCCGCAGACCTGGGGCGGCGCCCGCGGAGGGCAGACTCTGCAGCCAGGAGCGGAGCCTCCCCGAAACTTAGGCGCGACTTCCTCCACCAGCCGCCGAGCCCGCGCCCGCTCTCCTTTCGCTTCCCTGGGCCCCTTGTGCGGGCCGGGACCCCGACCTCGGCGCCGGGCCGCCACCCGCGAGCGTGCGCGCGGCGCAGCGCCGAGGCCTCCAGCCCGCGCGGGCGCAGGCCTCGGCCCGGAGTCGGGCGGGGCCCCTCGGGGCGCCCGGGACTCGGCCCAGCCCCGCGCCCTCCAGCACCCCGCTCCCCGGCCCCGCGCCGCCGCCCCGGCCGAGCCCCGGCGGCCGAGGGCCGAAAGTACAAAGGCGGGCGCCGGGCCACGGGGGGAGGGCGCGGAGGCAGAGGAGGGGTGGCGCAGGGGGCTCGGGCGCGCCGGCCGCGAGCAGCCCGCCCTGCCACTCCTGCCCGCGGGCCCGGCCGCGCAACAAAAGACCCCCGACCCGGCCGCCTCCCTCCCGACCGCGGGCGGCTAGCAGGCGAGCGCGTCGCGCCCGCCGGGCTGCATTACCTGGTCGCAAGGGGTTAAGCAGTCCTGTCAGCCCCAAGTTCATGGTTTGGGTCCTTAGCAGGGTTCCTCATGGGTGATCACCAGAGCCCGGGGTGAAGCCAGCAAAACGCACGCAGAGAAAACGCCCAACTCCAGCCCGGCTCCGTCCGCAAGTCTCAGCTCCTTCCTCTCCAAAGTCTGAAAGCGGATGCACGCGAACCAAATCCGAACCGGAGCAGCAGCCTCGGGCGGCCGAGAGCCAGCGCCGCGCGCGCACATCCAGCGCGGCCGAGTCCTGGCGGGCGGCGGGAGGGAGCGCGCCCGCCGAGGGCGCCCGGCCCGCGCTCGCCCGCTGCTCCCTGCGGCTCCTGCGGCGCGGCGGGCCGGGCCGGCGGGCGGGGACTCGCGAGGTGCGTCCCGGGCCGGCGGGCGAGGCGGAGAGGAGCGGCCCGAGCCGCCGCCGCGGCGCGCGGAGCTAGGAGCGAGGCGGCGGCGGCGGCGACAGGACAAAGGAGACCATGTGCGGAGGGAGGGAGGAGGGAGAGGGAGGAGGAGGAGGAGGGCGCGCGGCGGCGGCGGCGGCGGCTCCCCGGCGGCCGCCTCGGGCTCCCCGACAGCCGGTCCCGCCTCTCCAGCAGCGCCGCGGGCCGACTGCTCCTGGGCCCGCCGCCGCCACCGCGGCGCTGGAGGGAACCGCTCCGGGAGTCTTTATTTGGAGGCGATCTCGCCGGCGCGCGGCGCGGGAGGCGCTGCAGCGGCGGGGGCGCCGGGCGGGCTGCGCGGCGCTGGCCGCGCCTCCTGGCCGGAGCTCGCGGGCGGGCGGGCGCCCGGGGCTGGCTCGGCTCCGGCCCGCGCTCCGCTCGCGGGCGCCTGCCTTTCCCGCCGCGCGCGGCTCAAGTGAACTCCATCGGCGGCCGCCGCCGGCGCCGTGGACTCCCTGGATGGACGCTGGCGGGAGGGGGCGCGGCGAAGGGCCCTGGCTCCGGACTTTACTCCCGGCTGCGTGGAGCGCGCCTCTCCCAGACGCTCGCAGCTCTCGGAGCGGGACTTCTCGGCGCGCCGAGCCCGAGCCGCCGGGGCCACCGCCCCTCCTCCGTCCCGCCCCGCGCGCCCCGCCCCTCGCCGCCCCTCCTCTCGCCCCGGCGCCGGGTCGGCCCCGCGGGGGCGCAGTCCCCGGGCGCGACGCCGACAGCTGTTGCTCCCCCCGCGGCGCGAGCCCTTGGTCCCCATGGCTGCTTTCCCCGCGGGCGGGCGCGGCGGGAACTGCAACGCTCCGCGCCCTCCGCAGTTGTCGCTTCCAAGATTGCGCCGTGGCAGAGAAAGGCCACTAGGCCTGCAGCCTGGGGTTGAATTGCAAGGAGACTAGTCACATTTGCAAAGAGCAGATTAGATGGGTGGTTGTGAGGGCCAAGGAGCAATTCTATGTAAAGGCCTGTCACATAGTAGGTGCTCAATACAAAATAATTTCGTCGTTGAAAACGGAGGGGACGAAACTAGAGTCTGCGTGTCAGAACAACAGAAAGGGCTTGTTCAACCCTCCATCCCAGTGCAGCTGAGACAGAACAGCTTGTTAGGTTTCACGGATAACAGTGCATAAATTGGCCCTTCACAAATCCTCCCCTCCTCTCAATATCTCAAATCGCCTGACATTTGTGCTCCTCACACCCACGAAAGTGGAGCCTGTTGATTCTCACATGCATCAAATAAA